ATACGCAGCAGCAGGTCAGGCTGTTGCTTCGTTGCTCACAATGCGGTGCTCCAGGCATATTAGGCTGACCTGCTGGAAGACCTGGATAAAGGCCTGATGAGGTAGCTGAGTTTCGCCGCACCACAGATCTCACTCTCTGTGCTACTAAGCATGGCAGCTATAGTAGGTATTGAGAGACATCTGTGGGTGAACCTGGCAGATATCAGGATGGAAGAGAGGGGCTTTCTTCTCGATGCGTCGGTTTCGCCTTCCGAATATTTTTAGTTACCTCCGTTGAGACGGTGGTCGAGAAGTTCAGGGAGGCAAAGGCACGCTCAGCGGCCTTCAGTCCTTCATTTCACGTTGGTCCAGGTCTAAGCCCGAACAGCATAGGGGTCCTGGTCCGTCTCGGTCTGAGGACACTGCAAAAAATTCCTGGATGTCCGGGCTCCAGTATATCCCCTCTTGCTGAGGCATCGAGTGGGAAGTATAGGTGGCATTTGCGAGAACCTTCTTGTGTAATGCTGTCTCAGGCAATGCTCCCCCTTAGAGGGTCGTATTTGAGCTTGCCTCTCCCGTTTGGCCCAGTACCTCCGGGTACCTGTGATCAGATGCCTGGAAATTTAAATCCATGCTATGGTAAGTCTACACGCTAAGCTCTGTGCACTTTCTGAAACCCACATAGTGGTACCTGCACACGTTGAACACTTTGCACACTTTCTAAAATCCACATAAGTGGTAAGTGTGCACGCTGAGCACTTTGCGCACTTTCTAAAATCCACATAAGTGGTAAGTGTGCATGCTAGACTTTGCGCACTTTCTGAAATCCTGTACGGTAAGGGTTAGGCGTTATAGCTTCGTTCCCTTTCTCGGAGTCGGTTAGACCCACGGTACCTTGGGCTCCACTCAACCAGTGTGTCTCTATTTTTGACATTGAGGGTTACTATGAGCATGCTGCTTCCTATCGAACACCCGGGTTCGCTCCGTGGGCTGTTCTCGTGGTAATATTAGCAGTGCTCCCCTTTACCAAAGGGTTGCCTATGAGCGCGCTATTCTTTCTGAGTTCGGAGTTCTCCTCTCACGTGAGAGTTGAGTTCTCTGTTTTCCCATAGCACCTGGAACCAGTAGCATCAGGTGAACTAGGCCCTTCCAAAATTTAACAGGGTGTGGCCACAAGAGGTCTGTTGAGACAGTTCCTTTCAGAGATTATGCGAGAGCAAGCGGTAGCCCCTGTGTGACAGACCAAGACTTAGTGTGATACTAGGTTCTTGGTCGTATCCCCTTAAAGGAATCCATTATGATTCCAAGCCTTGAGCTCTACCCCGGGCCCAGGAGTCTGGCCCTAACAGGTAAGTTGGGTATGTAGCCTAGGCCGTTGGCCGTAGGGGATAAAGTCACGGACAGCTGTCTGACGTCCCAGGGGCAACTCACCATGAAAATGGAAAAGTTGGTACTTAGTGCTCGCCATGGTTCTGGCCCTCACTCCCCTCAGCATGGCGGCGTGGGTATATCGTTCCCCATAGCGACCCCTAGAGGACGCAGTTCGAAGTTCCCTTGAAAGGGAATGTCTCAGGTTACTTATGTAACCATGGTTCCCTGAGTAGGGAACGAGACACTGCGTCCTCTAGGCTTCCTGCCATGCTTCGAACGCAAGCTTCAGATGAAGAAGTGAAGACATGTTCTCCCGGCGCCTATTTATACTATAATCGCACCGGTAGTGATGTCATGGGCTGTCGCCGGCCAACGTGTTGTTGGTGTTTTTTCAATATATGCTTCAGACACGGGTCACGACGAGGCGTTCCCCATAGCGACCCCTAGAGGACTCAGGGAACCATGGTTACATAAGTAACCTGAGACGTTTCCTTTGATAATCAGTGACAGTTTGTTTCCAAAGTATTTCAAAAGCAGTTAAAGGATAGATTGAAGGATAAATCATCATCATATCGTTATCAACAGAAATGTCCTCAGGTATTACAGTATGTGTGTACATTTCATTTTCATTTGCATTAGAAGGGTAGTGGTGTTTCAT